TAAAATGACGCTGAGCCCCCTGTCTTCGTCATCTCCCATTTTAACATGATCCTGAGTCCCTTTTCATCACCCCCATCTGTTTAAAATAGCTGAGCTCGTCACCGTCTCCTTAAAATTTCTTCTCTCTTCACCCTCCCCCATGTAATGTTGCCCTGAGCTCATCCTTTCATCACCCCCTCCCCCTTAAAGTTGCGCTGCGTCCCTTCTCTCCTTTTCACCTTATAATTGCCTTGAGCTCCTTGTTTCGCCATCCCCACCCGTTAAAATTGCCTCTAGCTCCATTCTTTGCTCATCTGAAATCACTTTTCTTTCTTCTCCCTCTCACCCCCCGCCTTAAAGGTGCCCTCCTTACCCTCTGAAGGTCGATTTTTTCCCTCGCCGCTACTAATCATGCGGCACGATGTTTGCACGTAGGCGTTCTACCGCCCAGATTAAAATCTGAAATTAGAAAGGGCTCTAAATGTTAATTTTGGATAATGCTTTTTTTGTTCTCCTTCTCTTCTTCCTGACGGGTTTTGAACCATTTGTTCCATCCTCCGATGAAAAGGAGAAAGTGGGTTTGTTTAATTCTCTATGCATTTGCAGTAGATGCATTGTTCATGTTTTTTTTTACATATGTAGTTGTGAGCCCTTTTTATTCACTTAAAATCGTTTTTGTATTCAGATTTTTGTTTTAAATTGGAGCTGCGTTTCTCCCACTTCTCGTTTCTATTGTGACTAGTTCGTTCCTAACATTTTAGGTTTGTTAGAATGGTACTTGAACTAATTTTACTCCCCGGTAACTGGAGTACTTTGCGTGATCTATCCTTGGCTGAAGGAGGCTGTAATGATTCTTACAGCAATGTGATACCAGGCACTCGTGGCAAGACATTCGTCCTTGGTGACTCCATTTACCACGGAGATGTTTTAATCTTCAAATGTCTGGTGACTCTCCTGCACTTTTAATAAAGCAGCGAGGAGTTTTTGATCGCCTAAAGCAGCCACTTTATGTAAAATGGGAAAGAAACCTGCGCTACTACTAAACAGAAAAGTGCCGCAGGCTGAGCCTTAGTTTAGCATAGATTATTCATGCTGCAGCATAGGTCTGCAATAAATCAGCAAATCCCTTTCCCATGCCACGTATTTCTCTAAAGGTGCATATCCAGTTCCCCGTTTGAAAGGTACGATTGAACATGCCTCCACAATTTTGTTAAAGGTTACACGACATGTTCCTGGCAAATCGTGTCTATTCTGAAGTATATCTTTCCCAGCTAGCTGTATGCAATTTTCATTTAAAAATGACTTGGAATTGAATTTCGTGTTGCGTCTTTCTGAAGGTATCATGTTAGCCGGCAGAGGGAGTTAACAATGTGGCGTAGTCTAGATGAAGTTCATTTTTCTGGAGTTTCCAGGTGTTCTGTTCTGACCTGGGACCGAGCACGGGATCGGTGCAGGTTGCTGCTCGATGCGTTTTTTGGCGGCGGGGAGGTTGGGGAAGAAAGTCAGGAGTTCTAGTAAACGCTACTTTATTTTGAAAATGAAATCGGAAGGCTTGTACTCCTCATACCATGCGGTCAACTCTACACGTTCTGGTGAACCCCCACCCTGATATCAGTTCCGTTTGATTGGGTTAGGAGAAGCGGTTCGGTTTAATGCTCATCTCTAAAGCCAATCCCATGTTACCAACTAGAATGAATATTCTTGGGTGCGTCATTTGCGGTTTCGAGTTTTCACTTTTTTTGAGCAATTTTTCGGAATAGATTAACCGTCTTCTCCCTTACTCATGTATGGAATTTTTTTCACATTTTTTTTCTACCCTACTTTTCTGAGTCAGTGGATGCGAGGCAGACCGCACGTACACTCAGCGCCATTGGGACGTGACTGCAGTAGCGCCCAGATTATTGCTGCAGACAGCGCATCTCCAATCTCTTTTCTTGCCTTTTTTTTGCTGTGAAAGTTCTATTTTCTTGCAGGCTCTATTTTCCTTGATTTCTAATTTTGAATCGAATGTTGTAATAGAAGCAAAATACCCGGGATGCTGGAAGCAATACTCCTCAGTTGAAGAGAGAGGAGCATAAACACTTCAGCTCCATGCTACTGTGCATTTTCAACGGTGCTTGGTCCAAACTTGTCATTGCTGTATTCCTGTGTGGCGTTCTATATTGGGAATCGCCTTTATTGGTCAAAACTCAGAGCCTTGGTAGTCCAGTTTCAATTTTGTCATCTTTGCCATCTGTCCTCACTCCTCCCTTGCCTCCCATCTCCTCCCCCTCAATCTCTTCCCTCCCCTCCCCTTCCCCAATCCCCCAAAGCTTTTTTGATCAAAAATTTTTAACCAAATTGGTTTTACATTAATGCTTGCAGTGACAGAAGCCACACAGAATGTTTTTGGGCCGTTTACCTATTTTCCCTGTGAAGAGGACTACAATTCCCATCAGCTCCACAAAATCATAGCTTGTTATCCCTTATCTGGTTAATCCGTGCTTGCTAATAGAAACAATTTCAGGGATGAGTCTTGCATTAACATCAGTGAAATATTCCATGTTGTAACACTAATAATTTGCTTACAGATCTAGTATAGGTGATTGCTACTGTATGACCCTGAGATTGAGTGCAGACCTTCTCACATCTTTAAAGGTCCCTTAATCTTATATTCTTGTTTACCTTAGGAATGACTACCTCCTACTAGGGAATTTTGATCTCATCTAAATCGATTCTCTAATCATAATGGGGGAGGGCACACATTTTGATCAGAACCTTCTCTCTTAGCCATTGTAAATTGGAATCAAAGTAAACCAGAATGCATTTTTCTAAACAAAGTAAAGCAGTTGACATGAAGTCTTTGCAGCAGAAATACTTTGGTCTTTGTTGTGGACATGATTCAACATGGGGGTATTACTTGGAATCTTTATTAGGGGAAGGATACTTAACAGATTCTCATTAAAGGAAATGTAGTGTCTCCACCTTTGGTGTCACTCAATCAGGAAATCCATAGAGCAAATCTGAAGCTGTGTAAATGATAAAATAATGAACAAGTGGAACTATTTTCTGTCCTGTGTAGATTCAGCTTCCTGTTTTTTTGGTTTCATATCTAACTTTTGTGTTTGAATTCAGGAGCTGTAGTGCTCTGTTAAGAGTGTACGTTTGTTGAGCTTTGCAGCTTGCCAGTTCAGCCCTGGGAAAGGCCAAAGTTGTTACCTTCAGTTCCCCTCGCTTTGCTCTTTATCTGCCTCTGTCCAAAGCCTTGCTGAGTTCTCCTTTGCAACCTTGAATTCTATTCATCCCTGCTGAAATGGATGCTTTGCATCTTTTCGCAAAAACGAGCTGCTCTTGTCTGACCTGATCTCTACTGAGGATGACCTGTGTCTTTGCCTCCAGAGCTGACTGCTTGTGTGCTTCCTGTTCAGAACCCTGCCCACGTCCTATTCCACTTTCCCATCACCCTTGCTTTTGCTGACCTACAAGTTGCTCCAAATTCTATACCTCAATCAAAAATCCTCTCTGAAAAAATCCCTTAATGGACTCGGTCTACATATCTTTGGGTTTATCTTTCATTCCATTCTCACCATCCCATTTCAGCCTAATGTGACCAAATCCTGGCCTGTGTATTTTCCCTCTGACTTTTTCCTATTCCTCCTAGTCACCAATTATTTGTAGATCTTTGTCTAATCAACTTACTCAAACATTGAGACATCTCTAGAGAGGTAGGACATGATAAATGATACTAACACTACATAACAAAAGCCCAACAATTATTTGTATCTGCTTCCTATCAATTTGAATCCTCCTGTCTGAATTCTTTCCCCAAATCCCTTTGTTTCAAAGTTTTGGCTAACTCTGATTTTCTCCTTCCTTGCTTTCCATTTATTTAGTTGAAATGAGTCATCCATCGTATTAAAAATTTCCTGTGAATGCACGTTACTGGACTTTTCCTCCAATTTACTTTTGGCTATTTGATTTATTCTACTGTTTGTGAATCATATCCTTCGTATAAGCTTGACTGAGTGCCAACAATCGATGCAAGGCAGAGATAGGAACTTAAGTTTTGACTTCAGGAAGTAGCTAGACTTGGTCATCAATTTGCATTGCTAACTAATTAAAGCAATAATGTCCTTTGTTTAAGCAAGTCATGGTGATATAAGAAGTCAGTGTGTCCTTGGTAAAGATTATCCTATAAGTGCAGCTTTTACACAAGTTAGCTGCTTAATGATTCCAGTGCATTGTAGATCTCCTGTGACCTTTATGCTTATAATTGTTGTCTTCGTTTCAGTCAGATGTGCGCTTAAGTCTTAATATTTTCAACAGAGAATATGATGCATTAACAAACTTCTAGTAAACTTGATCTTTTCAATGTGTTTGTAGTACAGTTGCCTATTGAAGCATGATTCTGCAGATCCAGGAGCAATCCAGTTTGCCCTTGCTGAATTTCTTGAGGTCATTGTATAGTAATCTCTGCTGTGTCATTCATGTGTAGTGATTTCACCCTTTCAGTGCAGCAGCCATGTGATTTATCTGAATAATCTGGTGATTTGATAGTTGGGAAAGAAAAAGTGGTCTTGAATATCAGGTTCACTTCCTACCTACATCACAGATCTTCGGTTTCACTTCAGCTGGTTAGGCCTGGAATCTTAGAATCTTTGAATCTGAAGGTCAGTATGCAAACAATGCAGTACTTTTGAGATAGCATTTGCGTATGGCTCTGCAATTTCCATGCAGCAGACAGGTTTGTCACTATATCTGAACAGGCTGATTAGAAAATATCTGGAGTGCTGTTGGTTTAAACAATGTGGTACATGGTTGTTGATCTTAGTTGAAGCTAACATTGACTATTGATGCATTGAGCACCTTAAAATCTCTTCCTTGTATTTTTAATCTTGCAAACGAGACTTCTGCATTTTTGCATTTACATGTGCTATCTTTAGGTGGATAGAAGTCCCATGGTAAGGCGTTCCAAAGTGGGGTCAGGACCCCAAATGGAGGTAGGAGCTGGCACTTTTGGGTCACAAGCTCAGGCAACAATAGGCACTGTGTAGTTCTATCTCTTATTCCCTTTCCAACCCAGGTCTTGGGTGTTTTGCCCCATTTATACACCCCAGAACCCCTGTTTTCATAGGTTTCTGCCTACTTCAGTCTGAATTCTGAGGCCCTGACAACCTTTTAGCCTCTAACTGGGGTCACAGTGGAGAAAAGTGTCTGAAAGTAATGTCTCAACGTTGCGGAGTATAAAAGTTGATATCAAATCTAAGGAAGATATTATTGGGTATGCACTTTATAGACTAAATGTTGTATATATTCTCTCCATATCAGGATAGAATCAACAGCTATGCCAACCACGAAAGACGTTATGCACGAAATGGGTACATCCTTTGTTCAGCGCCAGCAGCTGAGTGCTGCCATGGCTGACACTTTCCTGGAGCACTTGTGTCTGCTAGATATTGACTCCGAAGCAACAATTGCACGCAACACTGGCATTGTATGTACCATTGGTGAGTATTGCACAAGTCACAAATGCATCCTCATGTGAAAGATCGTTACTGTGAAGTTCGTTCAGATCTTTGCATTTTGCAAATTGATTTTGTTGCTTTGAGATGCTGATGCTGCAACGCTTTGTATCATCAGGTATTCATGACATTGCGTGAGATGTGCCTCTTTGCCTACTGAAGCTTCCATTTAATTACATTGTATTACTGTGTTTGCTGATCAGAAAGTGTTATTCCTTCAACACTAACTTGAAGCCTTCTTTAGTTTGTGCTGATTACTTAACGTACTTGGCTTGAGCATAAAATTCTAGTGCTTGTCTCTTGCTGTTCTGGAGCATAACTAGAAAATGCTTTTCTTTAAAGTATTACACTTGGTTTCCATCTGATCCATTCCTCTGTTTTGATCATGTACTTCCCTGATTGTTGCACCCATTTTTCTTTCTTGGATTCCAAAGCTGCTCTGATGTATCACATTCCCAAGAAGATTAGGCATAAACTTCTACATTTACTTTACTTTAGAATTCCAGTATCTAGTTGTATCTGTGTTTCTAATGAGACAAGTAAAATAATAGTAATCAACTCGAAAGGAACTGATGTAATTATGCTTGTTAATTCCAGGACCTGCTTCCAGATCTGTGGGAATGCTGAAGGAGATGATAAAAGCTGGGATGAATGTGGCACGGATGAATTTCTCACATGGAACACATGAGGTATTACTTTGTTGTACTTTAAGCTGGAACACTGTCAAGCTGCTTAGTGCAGTGCTAAGCCATGCAAGTTAGTTAGAAGCTGCTGCTTTGATTCTGCTATACAGCTGATTGGTTCAATTACAGTGACCATTTGAATAGAGGAGTCTGTTGCTCTTGCGTAGGATCGTGGAATGAAAACAGGGTTCACTGTTTTTGAATGTTTCCTTTTAACATGTAGACATCAGGCAAGCATTTGTTTTATAATGTTGTCTTTCCACGGGTAAGTAATGATTTTAAAAAAGGGCTGTTAACCAGGTGCTGAAGGATTACTGTTAGGAGTTAGGCTCAGAGTTTGCTTTTTGCAAAGAGAATCATGCCATTGTGCCTTGCCTGAAATTATAATTTGTTTCTTTCCCTGAGGCAATTCCACATATTTACAGGTGATTGCGGTGGGTGTTTTCTGGCTAGTCAGCAGTTGCCCTGGAGTAAAAGTCCGTGAAATTGCTGTTTTCGGCATTTCTCGGCTTCTAATAAATATCTTGTTTAACATTGAAAAATTGCACATTTTTTTCAACATTAAAGGTTTGTCTGTTTAAGCCAAGCTTTCTTTACTTATTTCAACATGTTGAACAAGTTTTTTTTTTTTTTTTTTGAAGAAAAATGATGGCCAGTATTGCATTCAACATTGTGCAGTGGTGCTAAGATGATGAGTTTTCTTTTTATACTGTTGGGTAGATCAAATACCTCCAGAGGTGGTAATAGAGAAATTCTGACATTGCTACTTGCAAACAATACTGTGTATTGATAATTTGCCTGCAGCAATACTTATAATAGAAGATTTTAAACTTGATCATAGTGGCTGCTATTTCAATGAAGACATGGTTTAAATTATTCTTTGTATACATCACAGTGCTTCCAACTTTATCAAGCTTTCTTCCATGCCCTTTGGTTGAGGAGCTGCGACACCAGTTCATGGGATTTTATATATGAATTCACTGCAATGTGTGAACTTTTGCAGTGTTAAGTTTTGTTTTCTTGATACCGAAAATGTTGGAAATGCTCAGCAGGTCAGGCGCATCTGAGCAAAAACACTTAATATTTCAGGCAGGGGTGACCTTTCATCTGGGAAGTCTTATCTGTCTGGAACATGAGCACTATTTCTCCAATGATAGTCCTGACCTCGATTGCAGGTTTTTTGTTTTTATCTAATTTCCAGTTTTCAGTGTTTTTCTGTATTTATGATTTGAAAAGTGGCTAACACACAATTTTTGACTGAGGCAGTGAATATTCAAGTTTTGTGTAAATATTCAAGTGGCAACTTGCCTAACCACCTTTAACCGCTCTGCTAGATTTGGAACAGTCATTGTAATAAATCAGTTGGTGCTGTAATATGAGCTGCTGAATGGCAGTTCAGACCATAAGTGTAATTTTAGTTTTGGGGTTATCTCTGATCAGGGTTTCACATTACCCTATCAAATGCAGGGCTGGTTTGAGTGCCCAGCTGTCCGTCTGCTAGACTTTCTCAGCAGTTGAGACTAGGTGGTGTCACCTGGTGTGCATCTCTGTATAGTAGAGGTCAAATGAAATGGAATATGTTCCATTGATCAACTTGCCTATTTATAGGACCTCTGACTGTGCTTTGTAACTAATTACTGTCTGCATTCAGGAGGAAGCACAGGCCTAGGAGGCCAAAAGGTCACTTATTCCATTTGTTTCAAATAGCAGATGTCCCTAATGGTCCTGGTTATTATGATATTATTGCATAAGATGGAAACAAGGCAAATATGGTGTGGAAATTAATAACATTTGGCCTAATGAAGTTCTTGCCCCAAAAAAACTAAAAGTTGGAAATCGGAAATTGCTGGAAAAACTCAGGTCTACCAGCATCTATGGAGAGAAAGCAGAGTTAATGTTTTGCTCCAGGAACGTTTCTTCAGAACTGATTTTAGCTAGGAAGAAGTTGGAATATATGCTAAAGATGGGGTGAGAGAAGGGGGGAGAAGTAAATGATAGTTGGAGATGCAGCCCAGAGAGAGGAGAAAACAGTTGGGCAGAAAAAGGAATGGATAAAGGTCAGCCTGAGAAGGAGTGGCTGCCAGTGGGGAGCATTAGTGATTGACAATGGGTTGTTAGTGGTAGCAGCTCATGTGATGAGGCCTGGTGTGTGGGGATTGGTGTAAGGACATGGGAGAAGTTACTCGAGACCTAAAATTGTTGAACTTGATATTGAGTCCTCAAGGTTGCGGTTCCCAAGTACAAAATGAGGTGCTGTTTTTCCAGCTTGTGTTGAGCTTTGCTGGAGCACTGCAGCAAGCCCAAGAAACACGTTGGCCGGGGAACGTTGTGTGTTAGTGAGAGGGCACTGGAAGCTCACGGTCACTCTTGCAGACAGAATGCAAGTGTTCTGCAAAGTGGTTACCAAATCCGCATCCCATCTCCACTGTAGAGGCTACCACACTGAATGGCAAATACAGTAGACTAGGTTGAGTGAAGCGCAGGTAAAGCGTTGCTTCACCTGGAAAGTGTGTCTGGGGTCCCTGGTTAGTAAGGAGGGAGGAAGCAAGCCAGCAGATATAATACCTTCTGCGATGTTGTGGGGTGGTGTTGGGAGTGGAGGAGGAATGGACCAAGGTATCCTGGAGGGAACAGTCCCTATGGAAGGCTGACAGGGAAGCAGAGGGGAATGTGCTGGTGGAAATGGCTTCTTTTGGATGTGGATTGTTGGTGGGATGGTAGAGGAGGATGAGGGAGACCTTATTGCTGCTGTGGGAGAGAAGAGAGGGGGTGAGAACTGAAGTGCAGTAGATGGGCCCTGCCAACCAGGGTGGTTGAAAGTCTTCAGCTGTGGAAGGTCATTTTGGAAGCTTCCTTGCTGAAATTGGTGTTGTGGGAACACGTGAGAGGGAGGAACTGGGAGAATGGAATACTCTTAGCAGGAAGCAGGGTGTGAGGATGTATAGTCAAGGCAACTGTGGGAGTCGGTGGGTTTGTAGTGGACCTGGAACATTCTGCTTTTTCTCTCCACAGAAGCTGCCAGACCTGAGTTTTTTCCAGCAATTTGTTGGTTACTTCCCAGTTTTCTAAGGTAACTTGAATGCAGCCAGTGTAAGTGAGGGATATCTGCTGAAAAACTAGATCTCTCACTGAGGTCAAGTATGCTGTTTTAATTTTGGGGAAGACAATGGATGGAGTCTCCTTAGGCAATACTCTGAATAGCGTAGAACTGGATGAACACAGCAGGCCAAGCAGCGTCAGAGGAGCAAGAAAGCTGAAGTTTTGGGTGAAGAAGGGTCTAGACCCGAAACATCAGCTTTCTTGCTCCTCTGGTGCTGCTTGGCCTGCTGTTCATCCAGCTCTACACCTTGTTATCTCAGATTCTCCAGCATCTGCAGTTCCTACTATCTCTGAACAGTGTGATTGCTTTAGCTTTATTCGCTTGTCCACGGTTAACATGAGATTCCATTGCTCTTTCTGAAGATTATTTTCCAAGTCCTACCCATGCATAACATAAGTGATAGAGCTCTTATGGAATTGAAAAGACATGCTTTGAATGCTAATCTAAAATATCTTTATGCACTGTCATCTTGTTTGTTTGGGTAATGTCCTCTAGTGGTTCTCTGAGCTGGCTAGATTCTCTTCCTGCAAGTATAGGTTGAAAATGTTTGTGATTGACTAATTGTGCGGAGCTTCCCAGCAAAACTAGCTGTCCCATGATCTTCAAACTTGTCATATCTTGGCAATTGGGAGTAGACTTTTGTTAATATCATTGGCTATGCCTCAGAATAGCTTAGCTTCATATGCAAGACTATAATTGGGGGCAACTTGGTTTTCTGAGAGGGCTAATTTCTGACAGTTGAAGTAGGAAAATTTGCTTTGTTATACCCCTTTAATGGATCAGCAATGTAGCCAAACTGATCAGTTGCTGGATGAACAAAATGTTGGTGTCCAGAAATCCCTTCCAAAATCATTAGACAAGTCCATAATCTGTGCTTCCTTTCTGTGGGTGAGTGCTTTAATATTGAAGTCTTACTGGCCGGAAGCAAATCAAATTGGTGGTGACAGTGTTTTTAAAGCAATTCAAATTTGCTCTACAGCTTACAGGCACTGCAAGGCTCTACTAAACCCTGACCCTGTCTAGAAATGAAGCAAGAGTTGTTGCTAATTCAGCCAGAAATTGCCTGGTAAGGTTGATCAGCTATTGGGCTTCCATTGCTTTAAAGGTTTAATGGCCTAAAATTCACCAAAACTTGCATAACTTCATGGTTTTCAGGTTAAATATATTTCTCGGATGAAATAATTGATAAAATGCTTGGTGCTATAAAGCTACTAGTGATTGAATAGTCGAATTATCTTGCCTAATGTTTAGGAATGTTAGTTCCCTGAAAATTGAAGTCTCTGCTCTCTACAGTGTGAGTGTACTTGTTGTTCTGTCATGGGAGGAGTTAAAACAGCAATTGAAATATCTGTAGAAAACAGTTTTTGCATGCTTTAACTGACAATGAATGTTATAATTAGCTGATTGAAGAGATCCAAGTTTGCACTGTGGTCACTAATTTGTTTTCATATTTCCTTCAAAAATGTACTAAATAACAAGTGGATAAGATTGTAAAGAAAACTTATGACATGCTTGCCTTCAGTTGGGGCATCGAGTATAATAGTTGGGAAGTCATGTTGCAGCCATGCAAAATTTTAAGCTGTGTTCTGTGTATGGTGTGCAGTCTGGTCACCACACTACAGAAAGGATTTGCAGGCTTTGGAGAAGGTGCAAAAGAAGTTTACCAGGATGTTGCCTGGATTGAAGTCTGTTAGCTATAAGGATTTGGAAAACTTGGACTGTTTTTGCTAGAGCATTGGAGGCTGAGGGGCAACCTGATAGAAATATATAAAATTAGTGTGGATAGTCAGTCTTTCTCCCATATTGGAAAATTCAAATTCAAGGGGGCAAAGTTTAAAGATAAGATGAGGCAGTTTTAATTTTGAGGATGGTAGGTACCTGAACGTGTTGCCAGGGCAGGAGGTAGAAGCAGATATGATAGCAATGTTTGAGGCGTTTATACAGTTAAACTGGCACAGTAGAGGAGAATATGGACCATGAGCAGATAGATGGGGTTAGATTAGAATGGCATCAAGGTCAGCACAGATATTGTGAGCCAAAGGGCCTATTCCTGTGCAGTACTATGCTATGGTCTAAAATGTTGCTAGACAAATATTACTAACGACTTCCTATATAAGACTTCCTATTGTTGCTTGCACTGTTTTCTAAATGACTGTACTTTAGTTTGAATGACATCAAGAGTATGGAGCTGGAGGAACACAGCAGGCCAGGGAGCTCTTCTGATGCTGGCTGGCCTGCTGTGTTTCTCCAGCTCCATACTGTGTTGTTTCTGACTCCAGTATCTGCAATCTTGCTATCTCTGTGATGGTTTAAAAGTTGGGTTTGCCTAAATGAGTTACTGGGTCACATTCCAGCATTCATTGTTAAGCCAATCTAATTCAAATTGCGATACAAGAACACTCTGAATATTTGAAGTGTCCTCTTTCGGTCCTCGTCTTTGAGGCATAGTGAAGGGTTGGGAAGGTTGGGGTGCTTAGGTAACTGAGACTGCAGCTACAAATTAGATTCCATTGTCCTTGTGCATTGTAGGGAGTGTGTTAAGTTTTGAAACGTGTCATTTGCCATGGTAATCGTTGATACCTGGTAATGTCAGGATGGGGAAGTGCTTCTCTACTGTGTTGGAGAAGCATGCAATCAAGTTGTTTCTTCCTTTTTGACTCTGGCTTCTTACCTGCTCAAGTTATTCAGCAATTACTAAATTTCTTATATGAAAGATGTTCTTGAAAGCCAGCCTGCATGCCAGTTGCAAAGGCAGTCTCAGGAAAACTGCTTTTTCATTTTGGATTCTGTCTTAATTAGATATGAACGACATACAGACTTGTCAAGTAGTTAAGATATTCAAACATTAACCAAATACTTTCATGAGGCACATTAAACAGTAATATTGACGGAATGTTTAAATTATTTCTTATTTGCAGTACCATGCAGAGACCATCAAGAATGTCCGTGAAGCTACAGAGAGTTTTGCTGGGAATCCCATCAGTTACAGACCAATTGCTGTTGCTCTGGACACAAAAGGACCTGAAATCCGCACTGGACTTATTAAAGGAGTATGTACTTTTGTGAAATACTTTACCTCAGCTCAATCCAGTGCTACTTAAAATGAAATATGTAGGGGGAACAGTATTCTCCTGAGCAGCGGGGACTAAGTGGCATCGTGAAATTGATTATTATACTGCTTTTGATCATCAGTTGGTTGATCTGGTACTAAAACAGACAAATCAAAGGAGAGCTGCTTGATTTGTCTGTTAGTGCTTTCGTTGGAAAAAGGACAACTATGTATTTGGGCCGCTCCATTTTATGGAGCGCAGCTTGTATGAATTCAAATTTTGTCAAATTGTTTGCATAGAATTTCATTTTGTGTGTAACACCCTTTTGAGCCAAATAATGCTGCAGTTGATTTAAAACACTTGCAATTGGCATAACTCTCCAGTTTAAACTGCATCTTAAAGTGCAGTCGCAAACTGTTCATAAACACTTCACTGTAGATGTGCATTACTGTATGAACTTGTGTACTTTGTAAGATGCACTGTTTCAACTGGAGAGCTGTGATGTGATTTAGAAGTATTGTTGCAACTAAAACGTGCATTTGCTATGGCATTTCTCAAATGTTTTGAATGTATGCAAATTTCTGGTGCCTGAACCATTTTGGAATTTTGTTAGGAACAGCAAAGAACTTCTTAGCATGGGTTTTTGGAAATGGGACAGTCATTTCAGTAGTTGCCCAATTTATTTGCAAATTGACATTTTTTTGAAGTAAATTTTGTCAAATTACTCACAGAAGAGCAGCTTTTGTGAGAAGCTTCCAGATGTCGGTTTCATCCCATCCCATTTTGTACATAAACGTAATACATCTGATTTGTGTATGATATCAGAAAGTTAATTCAAGCCAAAATGGACTGTTGTCTTTTGCTGTGCTGCACCTCTTTCTTAACCCAGACAGTAGTTTTTAATGTGTGGAGCTGGAGGAACACAGCAGGCCAGGCAGCATCAGAGGAGCAGAAACATTGCACCTTTGTTGCCTGGTCTGCTGTGTTCCTCCAGCTGTGCACTGTTATCTGACTCCAGCATCTGCAGTTCTTGCTATCTGAGTTCTCTAATATGTCATGTCTGTCTGTTATAAAGGGTTATTGGTATTATTAAAGCTTATTATCTATTCACTTTTACTAGAGTGGCACGGCTGAGGTTGAACTGAAAAAAGGAGCTAAGCTTAAAATCACTTTGGATGATGCATACAAAGAAAAATGTGATGAAAATACCTTGTGGTTAGATTACAAGAATCTGACTAAAGTGGTTGAAAAGGGTAGCAAAATCTACGTGGACGATGGTTTGATTGCTCTCCGCGTGCTGGACAAAGGTTAGTGTTGTATGAGCATGTATTCTGACTACTTCAGCCATTTGTCAAGCTGGTTTGCTTTATGCCAAACATATGTCCCTTTCATATACGGAGATAGCTCCGGGTCAGTCATTTAGTGCATTATTTTCCTCTTCAAAACCAGATTTGAAATACTGTTTTTTACCTCCCCCAGTTTGGTCCCTTTACTGCATGAATGTCCAGTATCAAACAGCAAGGTGTTTTGATTTTATAGGATGTGAGCATCACTGGCAAGACCAACATTTGTTTTGTCCTTAAAGTGAGTGGCTTGCTGAGGTCTTTCAGGGCAGCTAAGAGTCTAGCCATGTTTGGAGTTCCATGTCAGCCAGACTAGGTAAAGATGACCGTTTCGTTAACTAAAGGAGATGATTGAATAATCCTAGAAGTCATTGGTTTCATTGTCACTTTCTTTAAAATAAGCTTTGTTAGATTTGTTAATTGAGTTTAAAACTCATCAGCTGTTATGGCAGGAATTGAACCCATGTCCTCAGCATTAACCTGGACTTTTTATTCAAGGGATCAAAGGATATGGAGGGCAAGTGGGACCAGGGTATTTAGATCAATGATCATAATGAATGACAGTGGAAGGGCTGAATGGCTGCCGCCTCCTGTTGTCTGTATCTATGAATTACTAGTCCAGTGATATCACCTGTCTACTCCTTCTCCAAGCCCATCCCACAAAAGCAAACCCTTAAGAATACAGTTGTGCTTTGTATTGCACACTTGTCTTTTACTGGACCAGGTGCTGATTAAACAAATTGTTTCAGTTTGATATCCTTAAAGTGACTTTTTTTTTGAGAAATTGGTGAATGCTTCCTGGTAACACATTCTAATGCCCTGTGCAGGGTAAAATGTTTCCACCCTTTTAGTATGAAATTCATAGTGCATGTGGCAAACAAAAACGTCATTTTGCTACATTTATGCATTGTAATCTGTCAAGGAATCTTTAGACCAATGTGAATTGATCAATAACATGTTTTGTATGTGGTCAGAACAATCATTCTTCCCTCTGCTTCCTTGATGTGATCTGTATTCAGTTACATTTCCTGTGACCAAAATAAGTGTCCTTTGGCTTTTGGCTATTTTCTAATCAATTGTTAAGATATGTTATCTGAGTTCTGGAGCAGGTGGGACTCAAACCTGGGCCTCCTGGCTCAGCCGTAGGGACACTGGCTATGCATATGTTCACAAGAGCCGAGGTGCTTTGGTTTACAGATTTCTCTTTCACTATTTACAACCTGACTACTTGCCTATTTTAATTACAGGAGCAGACTATTGTGACACTGAGATTGAGAATGGAGGTTTCCTGGGTAGTAAGAAAGGTGTAAACTTGCCTGGAGCAGCTGTTGACCTTCCAGCAGTGTCTGAGAAAGATATCTCTGATTTGAAATTTGGCGTGGAGCAGGGTGTAGACATGGTATTTGCCTCATTCATACGCAAGGCTTCTGATGTCCATGCTGTCCGGGAAGTGCTGGGTGAAAAAGGAAAGCACATCAAAATTATTAGCAAAATTGAGAACCATGAGGGAGTTCGTCGGTGAGTGGCTACTAATGATCTTGAGGCAATTATCTAATTAGTGCAATGGAATAAGTACCATAATGTCATTGGAAATTCCAAGTATGCGAACTTTGTATGTTTTTCCCATGTTTAACCCCCCAGTTGGTTTTATGGCATATAAAACCAAGTTGGAAAGATTGCCTTACAGTTTAAGATATATATCTCCTGGGGAATAGTAATGTTAATTTGATGTATTCTGATTTGAAAAGTTTGTCTTCTGGCTCTAGATATTTAAAGAGGTGAACACTAATTGACCAATAGTAGTTTTTCTGTAACCATAGAATTAAATAGATGTCCGTTAATTAGTCTGGTTCAGCAATGGCTCTCTTATATTGCCATTTGCTTAATCTGAACTGAAAACCATGACCATTGTGATTAGCTTCTCAAGTGGCTATTTCTCCACTTTAGATTTGATGAGGTTCTGGAAGCTAGTGATGGTATTATGGTTGCTCGTGGTGACCTGGGTATTGAAATTCCCGGCGAGAAAGTTTTTCTTGCTCAGAAGATGATGATTGGGCGCTGTAACAAAGCTGGCAAACCTGTCATCTGTGCTACTCAGGTTTGTAGTTTTTCCTCAAACAGTATTGTGGTTAATAAGAACCTGCCTGCTGGGTGAAGTTTGTCATAGAATACTTTCTTGGGACCACAGTTTATTAAAATGTATAAACTGATGCCTGAAATTAATGTCCTTAAAATATACATGAAGCTGGCCTCTCTCGCAGACTTGAGCAGACTAATTGCTATCCATTTATGCTTGCAAAAAAAGCTTAAATTGCAGGTATTTGTTCCTATTGTTCTGGATTAGGGAATGCAAAAGATCCTCAGTAATATCTGAATTGAAGTGGAAGTGAAATTTTATTATTAAATTTTTTTTCTCAGACGTGTTGTAACTTGGAATGCTATGTAAGTGTTGCCGAAACACAAGACAAATGCTAAATTTCAAAAAATTGCAACTGTTTATGTAATCAGCACCCAAGGCTCCTGCAGAGAATTTGATAGTCTGAAGTTTGGCATTCTTGTATTAGTCCTGATGAGTGCAAACTCAAATCTTTGGCAGCATGTCTCTATTCACTAGTATACAAGATCTATGTGCTTTAGAATTTCACTTGTCTTCAGATTCAGATTTTAGCATTGCAGATTCTGTTAACATACTTGTCTGTTCATGATTAGTGATTTCCGACCTGCAGCAATTGTATAATAGCGAGGTGGACCTTTTTAACATGTTTGTAGAATGGATCTTAAATTCTTTCTGGCTTTGCCTCCCTTTTCAGATGTTGGAAAGCATGATCAAGAAACCCAGACCCACTCGAGCTGAGGGCAGTGATGTAGCTAATGCTGTATTAGATGGTGCAGACTGTATCATGCTGTCTGGAGAGACTGCAAAAGGAGATTACCCTCTTGAGGCTGTAAAAATGCAGCATCTGGTAGGTAATGAACAGTATTGGTGTGGCAACTACTCATTTTGGAAGCTGTTAGTACTCACGAGTAGAGGTATGAATTTGTTCCAGGAACTAATGATGAATGTGGTGTAAGACTCCTACTTCCACTTCCTGTCAAAGAACCAGGAAACAATTTGGGGAAATACGATAATAGCAAGATGACCTTGCACCAATATTAATGTTGCAATAATAATTGCAATCTTCCATTTTCTGGGCTGTTGAGCTGTTTCATTACATATTAGAAGAATAGTAGCACCCAATGTTTTGTTTTCTGCTTTGGGGCTATTAGATATTTAGTTGAATCATCTTAGATCTCAAAGCAATTTGACTTTTTTTATCTTACTAATTGCTTGTTTCCCAGATGAATGTAATTGGTTTTGTGGAATCTGCTTTCCTTGCAGTGCTTTGAAAAAAAAAGTTACTGACTTGCTGGAATCAGTGTTAAAATGTGCTAAGCAATGTTTGAGTATTGGATTCTGAATAATGAAATCCTTCTATGCAGTGGACACTTCTGCAGGATACAAATATGATTGAATGATTGACTGGAGCAGACTAGCTGGTTCATCAGTCCTGTACAATATGCAGTTCACAATGTATCATGATGAGCAGCATAATGCTCACCTGCATCATCCCCCAGATGACATGAAAATAAGATCATTGGGTAATTTTGGGGTGAAGCGTGTAAAATACTTTAATTTACAACATCTGAAAATAAAAGCATGGGATCTAGGATCCCATTGATTGGGAGCCATTCCTGTGGTGTGACCCTACCTATGTTTTTCTTTTTAAACATATAAAAGTCAATCTTTATTTGGAATTTGGCTGAAGGCATGCAGCCTGTTATGTAGGTTAATAATCTGAAAATTTAATCCTCCCATTAACCTCTTCATGCTGGCTTAGCTTTTATTGATGTCCTTGGTCCACTGACCACCTAGTTTATCATTGAAACCAAATTGCTATCTCTATTTTAATTGAATATCTCAGTAGATTCTATTTCTCCTGAGCAGTAAGCCACAACGCACTTGCTTTATTGCGGTCACAGTCCTTTTTAAACCAATGGCTTTCTTCTAAGTCTGTCACTCAACATAAAAGCCAAGTTTTTTCCTATTACATAGAATCTGGAAACTGATGGCATATAGAAGCACCAAGGGCCAACACTGGAATAAATGTATTGACACAAGACTCCTACCTAAGTCCTAGTTTGAAAAACTGCATGCTCAGCCTCCAACTGTGTGTGGGCATACGTTTATCTGTTCAATGACTGTTGGATGTAAACCTTATTTTCCTTCCTTCATTTACGTTAGTCTGTTTGCTCGCTATTGTCAAAAGATGCATTTCTGACCTTGTCTACTGTACTTTCAACCAAATCATTTGAAGAGCAAGTTGCATCATTCCTTCAGAGATGTAGTAATTGCTCCCAATACAGAATGATTTCTGTGAAACACTTTTTCCAAATGAAAAATGATTAGCTAATCCTAGTAGAGCCAATAAAGTAGTTTATTGTCCAGTTTTCCTTAATTGAACTTCTCTCCATTTCAACTGAGTTACTTGTATCTCCAACTAATGTCAGTGATGGCCATGCTCGTTTCCAAAAGCTGTTTTGAGTTTCTCAGATGACTGTATTTAACTGTTAGCTAACTGAAACACCATGTCTCATTTGTAGATAGTAGGAACTGCCGATTGCTGGGGTCTGAGACATCAAGGTGTAGAACTGGATAAACACAACAGGCCAGGCAGCATCAGAGGTGCAGGAAAGCTGACGTTTTGGGTCTGGACCCTTCTTTTCTGAAGAAGGGCCCCGACCTGAACGTTAGCTTTCCTGTTCCTCTGATGCTGCCTGGCCTGCTGTGTTCATCCAGCTGTACACCTTGATGTCTCATTTGTAATGTTTGAAGTGATTTCAGTCTTTGATTTTAATGTAGCATTCATCCACCAAATTACTTTTAAACTTGATGCATTCAAGGATGAACTGAAGATAAGGTTTGCTTTGGCATGCTTTTGGCAGAGAAATGCCACCTTAAATACTTAGGCAAGCTTGATACAACATGATGTCGTCATAAATATTTATTAATCATTTCATTAATATTGAAGCTGGGAAGCTTGTTACAGTGGTCTTAATTTTATTGCAATTAAAGTTGTAAATTTAAAGTTCAAACTTCAAATTTGAAGCATTTGTGTCTGCCACAGAGCCCAATACTCAATACAAACTGGATAAAGCAAAATGTAACTGTCCTGAGGTTTAAGCTTGCCATCTACTGATTTTGGATTGAAGATCCCAGATATTGCAGCATTTGCAGCAAAACATGTTAAATTTCTATTGGTGTGGTTTAATGAATTAATCCATGCAGTAATTGGGAATTTGCTTAAAACTGAGACAAATTCTATATTTCCTTATGTTGAAAACTAAACTCATTCAGTTTTGTTCTATGAATTTATAAATGTCCAGGTACAGCAGTCAATGTTCTATCAAACCTATAATAGCTTTGCCTAAAATGCTGCACTCCTGAAACGGAGGGATTCTTTTAATCTTTGTCTCCCCACAGTGCAAGAAAATTGCTTTTAGCCAGTAAGAGGCCAAACACTGAATGTAGACAATTGTTTTAAAAAGGCATTTTGTTGAACTGGCTATGCAGTTTGTACCATTTTGCACATGATTCTGAAGTTAATTTGGCTATCATTTAAGCTACTTGTGGCATGCTTTCTTTCACTGAGGTGGGGACAGTCTAATGTGTAATTAACCTGATTTTATTTTTCTTTATTTTTAAACGTGAGCTAATCTCCTTTGTCTGATCCACCTGCTCCAGCAGCCTTTTGTGCTTCATTTTTGGCTTGCAAAATTAACCTTTTTGGCACAGACCCAAACTAATGCTCAGGCTAGTAAACAAGCGCAACCCACAGAAAAGTCCCACTGGACTGTGACCCCTGTGTATTTGGGGGAAAAAGTGGTTGGTTGTCTGCCTATACAGGACAGAATTCTTTTAAGTTTGAGTGGTCATGTAGGTCTGATTATTTTTCAAAGAAATGGCTTGCCCCTTATTCAAAGGCATTTAGTGCATTCATTTCCCCACCATATGATCCCTTTCTTATCATTATCTTGTGGCACGGGTCCGTAGGCAATACATGCTCCCAGTTGGCTGCATTAGTAGCAGCAGCCACTGCTTTACAATTGGTGCTGAATATTTGTGGTTGGGACCTCCATCGTTTGCCTAATAAAGTGCCTAATTGGCACCTAATGCAACAATCCTTTCTGAAAGGACATGACGTACTGTTCTCTGGGCAGCTGGCAGAAGAGATCCCTGTCACCTATGTAAAATTCTGCCCCATTTGCCTGAAGTGAAGGTGTCATACAGTAATCAGTCGTTTCAAAGCTGTTGGTTGACTGATTTTTATTTTTGTGGCTTATTGGTAGGGCCCTAACAGTTGACGATTTGCCTTGCTAATCCTGCCTTCAGTCATGCAGCTTCTCAATTTTATTTTGCCTCCAGTCATAGTTACAAGAAGTTCACAGATCTGGTTTAGGCAATAGCAACAAATCTTCAACCTCCTGGTAATTCTGGTGAACAGAACATTTGCTTGGATTTGGAAGATGTGCGAGTTACATTGCTTTATCATGAGTCTTGATGCATGAAAGTTTGAACTTAAAATTGGCATTTTACCTGTATGTAAGCCCCACCCTGACCTAATCTGTAAACTAAAAAGGCGATATTGTTTGTAAATTTTAGTTCCTGCTACCATGGGTCCATGGAGTGGTGCACCAACTTTCAAAGAAGCAGTAGTGACCAGCAAAAGCCTTCAAGCTGACTTTATTTGGCTCTTCTGCTCCATGCCACCTAGATTTTAAATGCATCAGTATTCACCACGAGCATTTTCTTTCACTGGTAAAGCTAATGGCTTGGAACTTCCTGTGCATTTGCACATTCAATTATACATCAATTTCTAAATTCCCCTTTCTTGGTACTAATCTGTCACTGCAAAAGTTATCTGTTCATCATGGCCCAGTTCCTTAATTAGAGCCAAGAGCATGAGTTCACTAATTGTGCTTGATCAAAGGCTCTGTTCCAGCTGAAATTTTCAAATCATGGGTACCTGCCCATTGCCAGCTGAAGTAGGCACCAACAGTTGCAGATAGCGTTGATGCCATTCTGCTAATGTAGACATGTTTGTAGCTTTTCGCAAGGTAAGTGAAATTGCTCTCCTTCCAGTTCAGAGCTCACTAGTAACTGGATGTGGGGAGCATGAAGCACCACTAACAGGGCAACAGCCTCTACACGAGCATCTGCCCTGTTCTTTAAAGAATTGGCATTTGCTGGAAGAATGATTTTTGCCTGGCTCCAGTGCCATGTAATGAAAATTATCTGGTTGTCTATCTCCATGCTGATGGCATTTACTAAATGTGTTTCTTGTAGGTTAGTTTCAGGAATGTAAGAATTTTATAATGGATGCCTTCACTTTTAGAGTTTTTGAAAGTTGGTCTTAACATGATCATGCCAATCACCCAGTTACAACCTTCACAACTAATCATTTAGTCTAATTCTTTGCTCTGCCAATTTGGATCCAAATTAGTTGTCCTGTCCTTACCGCTAACATTCACAAAGCGAGAATGAACATATATTCAAAGAGATCATGGTTCTGTTGAATTTTTAAAAAATAAAATTCCCATGTGAAACTTTGCCTGGAAGTTGTTCACAATATGGGAGCTGTTTGCCTAGCTTTGTGGAAACAAGCTGCAATTATTTTTGCAAGTCTTTGCCACAAGACCTGAGATCTTTGTTCATAAAATCTTTTGGCTTCATGGGAGCAGAGCAAATCAAATCCATTGAAGAAAAATGACATAATAGGATGTTTCAGCAGCATGTCTGTGGAGTTCGTCACAGTATTAATTTTTTTCCCCCTTTATTCCTCTTTCATCTTCTAATCCCAAAATCATAACTGTCTAAGGAACCATCCAGTTCCAATAAATCAGTAGTAGCCTGACTAACCTTGCCATTTGCTACTGTGAATTGCCTTGCATTCTAATTTTTCAATTGAGTACTAAATTTGCATGTTCTTTTGCATGGTCTGGAGCACTGGCATGTTTAAATGGCAGTTGTGCAATCTACATATAACAGTAAAACACCACCCAATGTCAGTCTGTACAGATTGACTTGCTTTACAATTCAAAATTTAAAATTGTTAGTTTCACGTGCTTGGTTCAGGTCGATTTGAGAGAGCAGTGTCCCCTGAATTTGATCAGTTGAATTGGTTTTCACCTACCCCGCAGGCATAAAATACAAGTGGGTTTTTATTCTCACTCCCTTGTATTCCTGACATATGAATGTTGCACAACTACCCAAGTCTATCTTTTCACTAATGAATCACGTATAGCTGACTCTTTTGCATCTCTCTCTGTCCCTGTCTTATTTTGTGGCCTACAGATAGCTCGTGAGGCAGAGGCTGCAATGTATCACCGACAGATGTATTCTGAGCTCTCCCATCTCGCGCCTCCTACGATAGACCCTACGGAGACTGCTGCCATTGGCGCTGTGCAGGCCTCTTTTAAATGCCTTGCTGCTGGTATTATAGTCTTGACCAAATCTGGCAGGTAGAGTAGCAAAGGAGTCTTACTGTGCAGAAGGTTTAGAATTAACCATTTCTCCTTGCAGACTGCTGGATTGTTCAAGTGGCCTGGCGGCTGCATAGCCAAACATTTCTTATTTGGTTTTCACACGTGCACTGAGGAAATGTTAAAAGAACTAAATGTGTGAACTGACCCAAGTGCCTTTCATTGATCCAGAAGGGGTCTACCTAAATTGTTGGCTTTTATTATACTGCCAGGTATTTTACCATGTCCAATTAAGGGAGCACGTCAACTGTGCTGAACTTGGCTAGAAGGTAGGTGAAGGTAGCCTGAAACCAAGCGCACAAGGTGTAGGCAGGATGAATGGAGCAGTAGTAGTGGTGACTGACTGGAATGTTCCCTTCCCTGGTGCTATTTTATGTGGCATCTGCAGATTGCTCGTGAGGCTGAGGCTGCCATGTACCACAGGCAGCTATTTGAAGAGCTGCGTCGCCTAGCACCCCTCTCCCGAGATCCATCAGAAGTAACAGCCATTGGTGCCGTGGAGGCCTCTTTCAAGTGCTGTGCTGCAGCTGTGATAGTGCTGACTAAGTCTGGAAGGTAGGACTGATTCCATTGCTCCCTGAACTATTGACATTTCACTGGTCTATTTTCGTCAATCAGCTGGTTATCCTTTGCCTTGCAGGATACATAGGCGGGCTGAACTGCAAATGTCACACTGATTTTAAACTGTAGATACCTCACCTTTGTTAAAGTGATGTTGAAGGCCAAATTTCGTACACTTTTTAGTGTTACACTAATTACTCTGTAGACTTGTTTTTTATTTGAATGTGTAGTTTGAAGTTGGTGTTCAATCAGCTATTAATGAACTCTGACTTGTGGACTTATTGCAGCAATTAGACATTAAATGTACTTGAAAAAATATTGGTTCTTCAAGTGGCAGGACATTTTTTTATTCTTGATGGCAGTTGTCACTGGGCCTTGCACCTATAGCCACTGCTAGTTTAATTCTTGAGTTACTTTGACCCTGAAACTAGAAATTACCTGTTTTGAGCTTCTTGTAAGAACAAGATGAATATAATCCTTGCCAGTTTTTTTTGTATGGGAATGTATCTGCAACTCCACTGTCTCTGCAATGTGTCATCGTTATTTGCCAGTTATGGCTGGTTAACTTCAAGGACTCACCACTTTGAGGGAAGTGGTGCTGTGCTGGATGGTGTATATTTGTCTTTTACATTTGTAAACTTTTGAGTCTTGATTTCAGCTCACCACCTTTTCTGAAGTGTTTCCTAACCTTCTCTGTTCTTCGCAGTACAATCTCGTTGGGAGGTAAATTCAGAGACTGTCATTGTGCGTTCCTAGAGTGTCCTTTCGGATGATTTAAAAATCTAAAGTGTATAACAAGTTGACTAATGGTTGGATTTACACTTCACAAATTTAGACCATAATTGAATCTACAGGATAAGAACTAGTGTTTTGGCCCAATTACCTGTTCGTAGTATTTTTAATCAACCATTTTAGACATGTATACTCCTGGAGCAGGCTGAACTTGAGCCCAGGTCTTACGGCTGTGAGGTAGAGAAATAAGCACAGCATCACAGAATAACTGAATTCTCTACAAATTTTCCCCTCAATTTTCTTACCTTGTACCTGTCTGTCTCTCTCTCCGCTTCTCCTGCTTTATATGGATTTAGGCACCAGTGTATTGTGGGGTAACTGCATTGATCATTTCCCATGGCAGAGTTCTAGTCTCTGTAAAGAAAGTCCTAAACCGCAACACGAAGGATTTTGGTTACTTATGCACAAACCAGAAGGTTAGTGCACAGGTACAGCAGGTAATCAGGAAGGATAATGGATGCTGGTCTTTATTTCAATGAGGTTGAAGTGTAAATAGGTAAATCTTACTACATCTGGAGTAGTGTGAGCAGTTTTGATCCCCTAATTTAGGGAAAGGTAAGACTGAGATGAGGAATTTCCTGAGGGTTGAGCCTCTTTGCCAAAGAGAGCTGTGGGGACAGAGTCCATGTGAGATTAATTCCCCTACTCACCAAGGAATCTCGAGTTATGTGGAAAAGGCAGGAAAGTGAATATGAGGAATGTCAGATTAGCCGTGATCCTGTTGAGTGGCTGAGCAGCCTTGACCTGAATGGCTGGCTGCCTTCTGCTCCTATTGTGGTTCTTATGGTCTCTCTGACCTCTTGTGGACTGCCATATTTACACACCAGTGTTCTAGTCTTAAGTTGGATCCATTACTTCAAATGCATGCCGTTGAAAAGCTATTCATTCAGTCCTGGCCTTGATCTGAATTTCTGAATGGGAAGAATACTCTGAAATGTTTTTCATGGAGAGTGTGCTTAGCTGGCTAGGCCAGCATTTGTTGTCTATTCCTAGTTGCCCTTGAGAAAGTGGTGGTGAGCTGTCATTATAGGTGCTTTATCTTATCCTGAGCTGTTTATTTTCAAGTCCTGTTTTGCTTAATGATTTAACTTCCCAAGCTAGACAGCTATTGCAGATTGCATTAAGAAATGGTAACTTTTTTCTTTGCAAAAATTTTGTTCTTGAATGTTGGACTGAATTTTAAGAATTTTGTCCTGTTGCTTCATTTCTTTGTGATGCATTTGATGTATTTGGCATCCTTTTGTACACTTGGCCATGCACCGTAAAGAATTTTCTGTAATGTGGTCAGGTCTGCAGAGTGCGCTAACTACATTTTCTTTCATTCTTTTTCTACATAAGTAGTTCTCTGTCCTAACTTTTAATATTTATTTTGCTTTTCTTAATTCCATTGTTTCATGATCTATGAAAATGTGCACCCTCATTGATTTCACAATTGCAGTTTGCAATTTGCTCGCTCTGGAAATCTTTTTGGTGCACCTGTCCACATTGGCCATGTTTCTTCTCTACTCCTGGCAATTTGGTGCCATCTTCATTTTAAAACCATGAGTCTGATTTGTGTATGATCTTCAGAACTGTGGCATTCTTCTTTAAGTTTGGTTCTTAATGCCACTACGACTGTACCCCAACCCGAGCTTAATTAAGTTTGTCTAGTTGTCTCCTTTTTTCTTGTCTCAATTGTAAAATGTCTTTGTATCTTGAATACTGACTGTATTCATATTGTTAGTTGCATGCTTATGAAGGGAGTGCCAAGAATTGGAAGTATTTTGTTAATCCATCTTTCGAATGGACTACTTAACCCCATCTTTTTCTAAACGTCTCCTGTTACCATTCATCCTTTTGTTTTATACCTTGTATTTTACTGCCTTCCTTTGGATTCTGCTCCATCACCCTCTCCAGTTCATAGTAACGTTTTCTGTACCAAGTGTGTAGATTTACCTGGCCTGTGATAGCATTTATTGTGCACTGTTCCTATGTTTCACTGCAATGTTCTTCTGCACTTTCTTAACCGGCCCTTTTTAACTTTCATGAGATTGTGTGGCTTTGGGATTTTAAAATATTTTACAGATGGGTTGTGTTGGCCTGGGTTTTCTAGCCCTCATAGCAGTGAACACAGCTATTACTACATCCCCAGTAAGTTTGTCCTTGGATTGGAATGGATTAATGCAGACAGTTGTTTACATTTTGCCTTTTAAGTGTTTGTACATTGGAATTTGTCGCTGTACAAGCACTAACTTGGTTTCTATTGGGCAGTTGGCTAAGTTTCAATGGTTGATCAGTGCTAGAATATTTATTACTTTTCCCTCAGTGCAGCATTTGTAGATAATATATTATTTTGCCATTTTCAGTTTTAGCTGCCAAACATGTAGTAAATACATTTTTCCATGTAGCTTCCTCCATTTTCAAGCAGGATGCAATTCACAGTCCTGATTACATTATATTACATTGTTGGGCAGCACTGCGTATCCTTTTCAACAAGCTGCATGGAGAGCCTTGGAATCAATGCAACTGATGCTATCAATGTGGCTACTTCAGATGTCACTGCCCAAGTCCACTGTGACGAAAATTGGAATTTTAGGAGTTGCAATCCAGGTATATTGGGCATGAAGTGGGTTCATGGGTCTAATAGTGGAATAACCCTAATTCTTGCATGATGGAATGAGAAGTAAAACCTTAATCTGATTTTATTTTAATTAATTGAATGTGGGTGCCAGCTGCTGGACTAGCACATAGTACCCAGGGTGCAGTTAGGAGGCAACCTCATTGCTGTGGTCTGGAGTCACATGTAGGCCAGACCAGGCAAGAATGGCAGATTTCCTTTCCATAAAGGACGTTAGTGAACCAGATGAGTTTCTTTTGACCATCTACAATAGTTTTGTGGTCATAATTGACCACTTTTTTTCCAGATTTTTATTGAATTCAGGTTTTATCACCTGTCCCCAGAACACTGACCTGGAGTTTGGTTTGCTAGTCCAGTGATATTGCCATTATGCCATGCCATCCCATGTGGATGTCATCAGTTTTAGAGTTAAGATTTATCATGTAACCTAAATATAAGCAGAAAATTTTCATGACCCAAATGAAGTTAAATTTAAATTCCCCTCAAATCAATCTTGCGGCTTGCTGAGTTGACAAATGTCAGATGTTGAGACCTGTATGTGGATTATGTTCAGCTAGCATCTGGATAGAAATCTGGGGACACCAATTCCCATTGATAACTTGAATGAAGCTGGAGCCCAACTATGCACTGACAAATGTCCCCAAACTCATAATCAATTGTTTAATTATGCTGGGAGCTAGTCCATAGTATATTGGTAAATGGGCAGAATTACTCCAGTGTACATTTTTATCAAAAACCTGTGCTATAACTGCCTGGAAGTAAAGTTTAAAGATTGTAAATTGGCAGAGAAGATCCTTCACCTGAGCACCTGGCAAACCCTTAGATGTTTCTTAGCTCCATCCAGACCATGGTTGTCACAGAAATACCTGGTTAATTTCTCTGCCTGCAGTTGAACTCCATTTTGGACCTGAAATTATTTTTTTTAAGGTCTAAACTTGCC